CAATTAAAGCCTGAAAAGTGTGCAGGCCCAGAATCCTCTCGGCAAGCGTTCTTGTTCAAGAATTAAACCAGTGGTTTGGGATTTTGTTTTGTTTCTTCCCAATTTATTGTCTTTCACTTATTTCCAACTGCAACATTTTTCCTTTTTTATACAGGGTCTCATATATCCTAAGCTGGCCTCAACATTGCTATGTAGCCCAAGGATGACCTTTAACTTCTGATCTTCTAGCATCCAACTTCTGAGTGCTGAGAATGAGCTTATCACATGCTAGGCAAGCACTCTACCAACTGCACTACATCCCCAGCTCCACAATTAACTTTTCAGGGCACAAATTCTAGGGCTGTTTGGTCCTAATGACCCTAATGAATAAACACACAACTGCTAAGTGTGTGTGTGTGTGCACACGTGTGTACATGTGTACCCATGCACAATCTAGAGACAAGTATCAAGTATCTTCCTCCCTCGCTCTCCACCTTACTTTCTGAGACTGGAACCCACAAACTGACCGCACTGGCCAGCAAGCTTCCGGGATCCTCCTGTCTCTGTTCCTCAGTGCCAGGATTACAGCACATGCCTTCACATCCATTTTTTTAAATATTTTATTTTTATTTTATGTGTACGAGCGTATTGCTTGCATGTGAGTGCACCCATGTCATGCAATGCCGCAGAGGTCAGAAGAGGGCTTCGGATTCCCGTGGAACTGGAGTTAAGGACAGTTCATAGCGGCCATATGGGTGCTGAGAATCGAACCTGGGTCCTCTGCAAGAGCAGTCAGTGTTCTTAACCGCTGAGCCATCTCTCCAGCCCCACACATCCGTCTTTTTTGACATGGGTGCTAAGTATGCAAACTCAGGTCTCATGCTTGTGTGGCGAGCGCTGTACCCACTGAGGCTTCCCTCTAGTCTTTCTTTTGACCAAAAGATGCTGAGAAAATTACTGAGACACACAGAAAATGCTGTGAGCCCAGAAGGTTCAGGGACCTTCAGGTCTAGGATAGCAAAGACCTCCCCCCACCCTGAAAGGACAGCTAAAGATCACTACTGTGTCCTGGAGTAGGGGGCAGAATGTCTCTAGTCCTTGCTGTGACTCACATGCCAGGGCCTCTGAGGCTTGGCAGCTGTCACCACCACATGCACTGTCTGATCACCACATCACTCAGTGCCCAGTGCAGTGGTGATACAGCAGAGGGGTGGTTCCAGGAGATCTCTGCTCCACAAAGAGGAAGCCAGGCCGGGCTGGCCCAGAGCTTGGTCCATGTCCTCTCTACAGTCAGTAAGATCTCCCTGGACTGTGGGGTCCCGTGATGCTGAAAGTTTGCTGGTCCTTTCTCTTTAGGGTGAGCGTAAAGGTACCGCCCCATCAGAACTGCTCAGTTCCAGCAATCACTTCCTGCCTGTGCAACCTCAGGGGCTACCCCTGCCTGCCCTCTGCCCTCATTTTCCTGGTTACTGTGTGTGGGAGGCCCAGAGCTCAGGCCTCAGATGTGGGTCTTGACCTCACTCCTAGTATGGTCCCACCTATGCCAGAGGTCCTGCCCAGTCTCTATCCCAAATTCAAGATTTGTACAGCTTAACTGCCACTAGTGAAGGTACCAAAGCTGGGCTCTCAAGCTAACTGTGCACACCTTCGGCCTACCCAACTCAGACTGACCAAGAGCCCCCATAACAGTTCACAACCAGGACACCAGACCCTGCACCTAGAGCAACTTGACTCCACCTGGCTCCCAGCCTCCTTCCCTCAGCTAGACTCCAGAATCTCTCCCAGGTCAGAAGCCATTCAAAGTGAAGACCAGACCTAAGCTCCACCCTGCTCGAGGCTCACCTCCTCCCACCCCTCACCCACACAACTCACAACCCCTGACAAGTGCCCCTGTCCTCATTCCCCCATCCTGTCAGGACCCCTTCCATGTCACACAGGCCCTCAGTAGCCACCACGCTGCCCGGCATCCATAGCCCCCACACAGCCCAACCGCATATTCGAGTGTCCATACCCACCTACCCCATTGTGTGCATTTGTTTACTGTCTGTTCTCGCCTAGACACAAGCTGTGGGCCCCAACTCTGTCCCCACCACCTCAGATAGTACCCCATGATTTTTGGTCAAATGGTTGATGAAAGGAACAGGCCCGTCATGGCCAGGGATAGAGTGCGGCTGGACATAGAGGTGCCCAGTACCCTGCAGATACGATGGCCCTGGCCCAGGGCTTGCAGGACAAAGCTTAGAGACGCATACAGAGAGCGCTGACAGGCAGGAGACGTCACAGCTGGCGGCAATGACCTGCTGGTGACATGGGGTCGAATTGAGGGTGAAACAGGTTGAGAGACCCAACTCCCCGGGGACACCAAGGCAGGGTAGACACTGTGGGCCAGGGGTAGGGGAACTCAGCAAGGAGCACGGCACAAGGCTGTGCTAACAGTGGGAATAAGCCCTCCATTGACAAGCCACACACTGCCCCTGGCCCATAACCAGGCTTGTCCAGGTGACACCTCCTAAGGTGACCCCTGGTGAAGCGCTAGGCCCGGCAGGTTTCTCCAGAATATGCCACACAGGCCCCGTGTAGCCCCCACACAGCCCAACCGCATCTTCAAATGTCCGTACCCACTTGAGATTTTATCCTACGTAGAGCAGGTTGATGTGGTAACAGAGTGGCAGAGGTGAAGACTGCACAATGAACACGGAAGGTGATGGGTGAGACTACAGGCTCCAGTGGCTAGATGGCCTCCATCACCAAGCCTCACAGGTGGATTAGGAGCTGTACCCATACCTCGCACTGGTTGCCGCTGTCACTGGCTGCTACTCAGAGCTGATTTTTGGGAGCTGCCGAGTGCTGGACTGCTGGCAATGGAGACATGAGCACCTGGAGCTTTACGTCTGGAGCCATAGCCTCTAACTCTCAAGGCCTGGAGCTTCAGGCTGCTGAATCTGCCAGTCCAACCCATTAGGCTTCAGCCCTCACAGGCCCAGACTCAAACCCTAGAACTACTCACCTTCTCCAGTTTCTAGCAAGTACAACAAAAATGACCCCAGCCAGCTAATTGGTGGACATCAATACCAAGGTCCCCATGACCAACAAGCCAGCCATGCCAACTGAGTTTCTCTCCAAAGCTGGGGACACTCCCTAGTGTCCACAGAGGTATGCAGCTGCCAGAGGACCATGGTCCTGACCTGGCCAGCCTTCCCAACAGCCCTGTCCTGCTAGTCCAGGTTGGCCATTTCAGGCTACGTGACCAGGGAATTGGAATCACAAAGTCACAGCATCTTCACTAGACAGTGTTGCACCTGAACTCAGTGATGTTTCTTTTTAAGGTAATGTTGATTCACCCAAAGCACAAGGGAAACATACAGTAAAACCAAAGCCCACAAAGCCTACAGCAGAGAACTTCCCAGGGTCCACGTCACCCCTGGTCCTACCACAATCCTTGCGAATGAAGTTGCTGTGTAAATGCATCTTTCTCTGGTCAGCTCAAGGCTGGGTTTTGTTTCCTGGTCCATGGTGCATCCCCAACCTGCTTTATTACATGCTTTGTGGCCTCACTCTGGGACATGCAAGTTTTTTCACTCCTTGGCTTCCTGTAGCCACGCATGTCCTTGGCTCTTTTGCCCAAACCTCATGGGCGTTTCTGGTTCCTGTAGCCACACACGCAGCTGCTGGGCAGTCCTTTTCAGGCCTCCTGTGCATCCAGCACGACTCTCTGGGGTAGGCCGAGGATTCATTTGCAAGATACAAGCACATCTTTCCAGTGGTTCTTCTTTAGTGCTGTCCTTCACCAACCCAAAGAGCAGCATCTCAGCACACCCTCCCAGCCTGTGACAGACCTGTGCACTGTCCCATTCAACTGGTTGCCATGAAGGTGGACATTCTGACCTACTTACCAGACATTCTCAGTTCCTCCCTGTCCTGCGTCATCTAGGTTTTTCATAATGACTGATACCCTGTTTATCTTCTCTGTACCAAATCATCATTCGTAAATGTAGCGAACTCCCTCCCTCTCACCATCCCCACCACCACCACAGAGCTAGAGACGGAATCTAGAGTCTCACACGTGCTAGATAAGTGTTCTACTACTGAGCTATATCCCTGGATTTTTGTTTTAAGACAGGGTCTCACTATGTAGCCCTAGCTGGTCTGGAACTCATCATGTAGACCAGGCTGGCTTCAAATTGAGATTCACCTGCCTCTGCCTCCTGAGCACTGGGATCAAAAGGCGTGCACCGCCATGCCCAACACCCTTATGATGTCTTTTAATAAACAGAAGTTTCTAGCTTTCATAGAACCGAAGTTAGCAAACTTCCCTTCAAAGTCCGCACATTTTTATCTCAGGAAACTCCCCTGGTAACCCCACTACCTCCAGCAAGGGTGTGCTTGCCCTTGCATCTCTGTGGGAACCCAAGGGACAGTCTGCATGACCTCACTGGTCCAAGAACAGGGCCCCACATGCTGGCCTCAAATGTTCCTTGAGCCTAGGGTGGTCAGAGCCTTAGCCCCTCATGTCAGGCATTAAGGCTGCTGGTGACCTTAAGACCAGGTTATCCGGAGGAGATAGGGAACCATGTGACCACACTTCCTCAAAACCACGGGGGGCACAAAGTGTGCCAGGTAGCCCGTTACGCTGCTCTGAGATGGGGGCTGCAGGTGAACATTTTGGAGCGACATAGGTCATTAACCTGTAAGCTTACCTAGGAGGTCGGCAGGGCCCCCGAGGGTTGTGGCCATTGATACTTGGTCTTATTTCTAGGACACAGAACAGTAAGCTGATAAATGTGGGCATTTTAAAACATTGTGTGTGGAACAACAGGCACTGGTACCAGGTCCCTCCTGCATGACCATTCCTCATCACCGCCTGTGCATGGCTGGGTCCCATAGGTGAGCAGCCCCTGGAGTGCCACACACAGACACATATGCACGTACATGACATCTGGAACTGCATTGACTCTGCAGAGCAAATGAAATGGAGTGACAGCATTAAACAATGGGTCAGCATTTGGGTCTTTTAAGGTCAATTTCCAGAGGGCTACCAGAAGTCCCATGTCAGCGCAGTTTTCAGAGGCAAGGAGATTAAGTAGACTTGCTCATAGTCTCAGTCACAGTCACGAGGAGCTGAAGTCAGCTGGAGAGATGGCCCCAGAGGGTCTTCAGGAGTCTGGTCCCTGGACCAGAGCTGGAACCCACATGAAGAAGGGGAGGGTCAGCTGTCAGGAGGAGAGGCTGCAGGCCAGGAGGTACAACAGCCCAGGGGCAGATGCAAGGCTTCTGTGACTCTTGGGGCTATGTCCATGAAAGTCAGGGAGGACCTGTTAAGACAGTGCTTGGTCCAGAGCAGAGCAGCATGGTGCCAGCCTCAGGGATAGAGGCCACCGGCACAAGAGCTGTCACCTCAGACATAGGCTGTCACAGCAGCACACACCACCGCCAGGCACCCAGAAAACCCCAAAGGAGAATGTTCTGGTAGAGGATGCAAGGTGCCCAGAGTCTGGAAGTAGTCTCAGGCCTGGACTAGCAGGAGGCTGGAGGCTGCCCAATGGGTTCTTACCACCTTTCCAGTGTAAGACCAGTGTTTGGAGTTAGGGATAGGAAGGAAGGCAGGGTTGGAGACCATAGGGCCTGCCTGTGCCCACTGACTAGAAGACAGGGATGGGAAAGCTCCATCCCACCAGGCCATGAGCACATCCTGGACACAGGCAGCTTTGTGAGGACTAAGCTCGCCCAGCAGCCTCCAGAACAAAGGCCCTCAGTCTGCATTGCAGCATCCCCTCCCCCTCTCTCCCAGGCAGAGCCCCCAAGACTCCCATCTGGCCCACCACCACACACACATCTACCACCCGAATGGGAGGGGAGCTCTGCTGCTCTGCCAGGAGGAGGCACATAGCCAGGGTTCAGGGAAAAGGTGCAGGAAGCTGGTCAGGGCCATTCCACTCAGGAGAGGCCTGGGTTTCCCTGCCACCTGCCTCCCCAGGTCCCAATATATTCTGTGCTGTGGGACACGTGGGATTCCAGCATAGTGCCAACCATGCACCCTGTGCGGGTGGCCCAGAAAGAGGGAGTTGAAAGGGCTTTGGCATATAGGGTTTGATTTGGTTTGGTTTGTTGAGTCAGGATCTCCCTGTAGCCCCAGCTGGCCTAGAACTTACTATGTAGACCAGGCTGGCCTTGATCCCACAGAGATCCACCTGCCTCTGCCTCCTGAGTGCTGGGATCACAGGTGTGTGTCACCATGCCCAGCAATGTAAAGCTTTGGAAAAGGGTAAGAGGGCAGCAGGCTGGTGTCCCAGGGAGGGAGGGCTCTATCATGTATTTCTAGGTCCCCTCCAGATACTTCTCAGGAAGATCAGCCCATAGCCACAACACAACTGCAGGCTGAAGGATGCTGGCCCTAGAGGGAACACATGGCCTGGACCCCCCGAGAGGGCCTGGACCTCTGCACCCATGAGGAGCCACTCAGCTCCTCTGAGACCCAGAAGACCTCTACACAAGGTGGGCACATACCCTAAGGCTTTCAGTGTCTGGGGGCCAGGATCCAAATCAGGTCAGGTAGGGTACCAGACAACCTGGCCAGCTCCTGCTGACACTGACTCTGTAGTTGGTGCAGCATCCTCTTCAGACAGGCCTCCTGGGCACTCAGCATCCTGATCACCTCAGCTGCCCGTAGGCCTTGAGGACCCGGTGCCCCCTCCTTACTTCTCACCAGTCGGTGGGGCCTGTGAAGTTGGTCTGAGCGACTGGATTGTTCCCAGGACCCCTGCAGGGCCGCCAGCTCCCGTTCCACAGACTCCTGCAAGGCTTTCCTTGTGGTACCCCACTCAGGCCCCCGACCTAGGCCTCTAACCTGCGAGAGAAGGTGTTGGGGCTCCTGAGCCCAGGGCAGCTCTGTCCCCCAAGACACATGCTCCAGCAAATCCTACAGCCAAGGATCCAAAGAAGGGCTAATGTCCAGGTATCCTTCCCACCAGAGAAAAGCAGGCCACCCTCGGACCAGCACAAAAGACCTGGCTGGTCCACAAACGGACAGGGACCCCTAAGACCCAGGGACCGGAATCCCGGTCTCAATCCTCAGAGCTCCTCCCTCAGGACCTACAGCTGCAGGCCCACCAGGCTGAAGAGCAGGAAGAGGGGTGGGCTCGGCAGCTTCTAGTCCACCATGTCCTCTGGACCCTAGTCCACCGTGTCCTCTGGGCCCTAGTCCACTGTGTCCTCTGGGCCCTTCAGTACTCAGAGGCAGACTCTCAAGGACACCCACTACTCCAGGGTTCAGCATGGCCTTCCCATCATTCTCTGCTCTGCCTCCCTTTCCCACTGCTGTCCAGGAGTGGGGCAAGGGGTGGGGCGGCCCCAGGGACACTGAACCTTTAGGACAATCCCTATCCAGAGACCCTGTCTGCAGCATGCCTGGGGTAGAGGCCACACCAATTAGGTCTTCCCGTCCCTGAGCCCCTCAAAAGACACTGGAGGGCAACCCTGAGCCACAGGCTCTGCTTTCACAGTTCTCAGAAAAGACATGATCCAAGATAAGGGCAGACCTCACCCCTGGGAGTGAGAGATGTAAGAATCCCCAGTTCCACCACAGTCTCACCAGGGTGGGTATTGTGGGAATGCAGGGGATGCCCTAATCTTCACGGAGACTACTGAAGACCAAAGGGAGAGCCTGTCTGGGGCAAACATTAAAATGCTACCACAGACATGAGAACTGATGCTGTGGTGGGCAGTATGCATGCCAGGAGATGCTGGGCAGGGAGAGGACCCCTGGATAGGGGCAGTGTGGCCAGTCAACAGGCAGTGTGCCTCGATGGGAGTGCAGGAGCAGGCACTTCAGTGCGGCCTTGCCTACCTCTGTGGGAGTCCTTGGGAAAGATCTGGGGGTAGCCGTGAGGGATAGCAGGGTCCCTCTTCACCACAGCCCCCTGCTGTTAGAATGTGGTTCCCAAAAGCATCACCGATCAAATTTAATCTAATTAAGTACGGTAATTCATCTATAGACTTGGTCAAATGGCCAACCTTGCCCTCCCCCAGGAATAGGTAGCCCAGAGGGTAGTGGAAAGAGGCAGGGCAGGGATGGAAGACAGGCTGGGGTTGGTGGACAAGGAAGACTGGGCAGGGCAGCTGCCCAGGACCTCACCTGAGCCTCCCATGCAGCCCGCCTGGACTCAGCCACCTCCTGAAGCTCCTCCTGCAGGGCCTGCAGCTCCTGCTCTATCAGCTCCAACTCACCAAGCCCATGCTCAGAGATCATGGGCAAGACTGTGGGCTGTGAGGCCACAGAAGGACCTTCGACAGGACAGGCATCTAGAACTGTGTCCTGCAGAGAAACCCCAGTGAGAGGGTGTGGGCCAGGCACAAGCTGTAGTGGGGACAGAAGGTACCAAGGGCACAGGCAGTGGTAGTCACTGTGGGCTGGACAACTCCTGACACCCCAGCTGTAGCCCCTCCAGCCGCAAGGGAAGCATCAAAACCAGACTTCTAGGAGAACCGGAGATGAGGACTAGCAATATCAGGCTTCCACAGAGGGCGAGCAGGGACACTGAGCACTGCCTCTCTTAGAGCATTCCCTCTGTCCTCCCAAACTACCCCAATGGCCTGGGACCGCTGGTTGGAGCCAGGACCAGGCTTTCCTTACCATCCACTGCCAGAAGACCAGCTCACAGCACCGCCACTCCAGAGCTGCCTCCAGGCGCGTGTTCTCACACTCCAGTGCCTGCAGAAGCTAGAAAAAAAGCCCCAGCTGGATCAGACTGTCCAACGCCCACTTCCTCAGCCAGGCTCCATCATCACCACCTTCTGTGAACTTCGGAGTCCTTCCCATGGCACACGTGGCTCAGCTGCCCTCCCTCTCTGAGCACATCTGTGGCTCCCTTGCTGACTAAACAAGGCCCACAAGTAAGTGATTGAATTCAGGGGCCTCTGCTCAGAGCTCTCGGCCCCATACCCCACTGACCAGGGGCTGTCTCAAGGGCTGCATACATGAGAGGGCCCAAGACTGGGGAGCTTGCCGAGCCATCCCATGTTGGAAACCCCTAAAGGTAAAGAGTTAGGTGATGGGGATTTGAGAATGAGATCTGGGGTGGATCAGAGTTGAGCCCTGCTGGAGAGGGAAGGGCAAGAAAGGTCGGAGGAAAACCCATTCCCATCCCCAGCAGTGCAAAGCCTGCTGATCCTGCCCTAACTGCTGTGTATCAGAGACAGAGAGATCCACAGACAGGGGCCCTGCCCTGACCTCTTTCTACTGAGGCACCTTCACCGCCTGGCTGAAGCCAGAAGCCCCTAGCTGCTTGTTTCCAACTTGGGAGCTCCCTTCTAAACTCAGATCATCCAACATACTTGACTGTTCCTTTTAGAAGACAAAGTCCTGGGTGACCTGTAAGTTGAGAGTGCCTCTGTGTGTCCTGCAGGTGCCATATCCAGTCAGCCCAATCCACACAGAGGGTTAAGTGTGCCACCCTTGCCACCTACTCTGGGGATCCTGGGTTCTTAGGCAAAGAGAGGACCATTACAGAAGACAGCACATGCCAAGCCTTCCCCACCTGACCCCTTACCCTCCAGAGAGTGGAGGGTGAGCAATGGGGAAAGACCTTGAGTGCAAAGGTCACTCCACTGGGGCCCAGCACAGCAGAGGCAGGGAATCAGAACCATCACACAGCCATGGGAGGGCGGTAAGAGATGAAGGGAGCCAGACCAGGCTAAGGGGAGGGCATAGGGCGACCCACAGGCCTGTGGCTCAGCCCCAAAGAGGAAAGACCCTACCCATGGGCACAGGGCACCTCAACACACCATCAGAAGGGCAGATAGCACAGACTCCAAGAACAGTCCCCAGAAGGCCCAGTGCCCTAGACCACGGGGTGTGGGTACGATGAGAAGGAACCCCGCTACCTTCCCTAGCTCCACCCTAACTGCACCCTTCAGAGCAGTCATCTCCCTGCTCTCCTTCCCCTGCAGGAACAAGAACACAGAGGATGCAGATGCCTGTGGGCTCCACAGCAACCAAAAGAACGATCCAGTCACGCAGCTGCACGGTTGGCTGCGCATACACCAGGCATAGATCATTCCGGAAACTTCTGGGACTCATCCCAGCAGCACAGGTCCTGCAAGCAGGCCAGGACCAGGCTTTGGCCAGCTACTCTCCAGAAGCATGGAAGTAAGCCAACCCGAGGCGTCTGTCCACCTGGCCACCTCTGTCCACGGTCCTGGGACATCAACACAGGCCAGCCTCTGAGACAAGGGGTGCCTTAACCACCAGACCCCCACCCCACCCTGAGGGTGGTCCCACAGCAAGGTCCCAGACACTGCTACACTAAGCATGGAAGGCCTCTGCCATATTCCAATCCATAGACCAGGGGCTAGAAGGCCAGCTTCGCTGAGTCACATCTGAAAGAGGATCAGAGCCAAGGGCACACAGGGACTCCCAAATGCTGTCTCAGCACCTCAAGGCCAAACAAGCCCTACCAGGCTGAGCCCAGCCCAGGCCTCAGCCAAGGATACAGGCCCAGTTGGCAACAATGGTCAGGCAGCTTACCAGGTGTCCTAGTTTGTCTCTCCATTGTTATGACAAAACACTCTGACCGCTACCAACTTGGGGAGGAAAGGGTTTATTTGCCTTACATCTCCCGGGTCACAGTTTATCAGGGAGCCCAAGGTAGAAATTCAGCACAGGAACCTGGAGCACAGGCCATGGAGGAACACTGTTTATTGGCTTGCTCCCCTGGCCCCTGCTCAACCTGCTTTCTTATGCAACATAGGCCTACCGGCCCAGGAGTGGCACCATCCACAGTGGGCTGGGCCCTCCCACATCACTCCATCATCAATCAAGAAGATGTCCCACAGACATGGCCACAGGCCAGTCCTATGGAGGCAATTCCCCAATTGAGGATCCTTCAACGCAGGTGTGTCAAGTTGACACTAACGCTATCCAGCACAACTGACCCCTTGTCAACTTGACACACAAACATCACTATTAAACCATAACCTTTCCAATTCTTATCCCCAAGATATGATGTTAACATTAACATCACAACATAAGACAGTACAACCTTAAAAGCCCCACAGTCCTTAAAAAATCCAAACACTTAGAAGTCCATAGTCTCTTTTAAAAGTCTCTTAACTGGGGGCTCCTGTAAAATCCTAAACAAGTACTGTTTCATTTCAAAGGGAAGAACCAGGCACACCTAAGCAAAACCAAAGTCCAGCAAAGTAGCTCGAGGCTGGACATCTTGGCTGGGATTCACTCACGATCTTCTGGACTCCAAAAGGTTCTGGCAGCTCCACTTCTCTGACTCTGCCGTCCACAGCACACACAGCTCGACTCGCAGACCCAGGCCAGCTCCATTCTACACCTACTGCTGTCCTTGGTGGTCATCCCACAGCCCCGGCATCTCCAAACAGCTGGGGTTTCCACTGAAACTGAGGCTGTACCCTCACCAATGGCCTCTTCTTGCCTCTTGGGGTACAAAGCCTCAAATTCTCTCCATGACCCCTTCAATCCTGGGGTCTTCACTGCAAGTAAAGCTGCACTTTCACCCGTGGCCTTTCCTGGCCTCTCAGAGTGCCAAGCCTCAGCTGCTTTCTGTGACCCCTTCACGCTTTCAACACTGGAACCATGCAGGAGACTCTTACACATTACCAAGTCCTGCTTCCAGCTTGAGACAGAGGCTTAGGTCCCCTCTGTGTGCTGACCATGAGGAAATACCTCCCGGAAGACTCCACCACAGTGATTCTGGTCTCTTGTTACTTACAGCTGATTTTTCAGCCCCAGCTAACCAGCATCAATTGTCCCAGTAAAGTAGAGGCTTTACTTCAGGTTCTGGTCTCTTCTTAATCACAGCTGATTCTTCAGGCCCAGCCGACCAGAACACACAGATTCTCAATCCAAAATATCACACAAACAGCCATGATAGTCTCCGCTTCCCTTTGAAGCTTCACAAGCCAGGCCTCCATTGTCTACAACTCTTTCAGCAGAACTGTTCCAAGCTCCACAGCAACAAACACTGAGCACTCAATGACTTTTCCAGCCAAAGTTTTGAACACTTTCAAAATCCTCCTAAAAACACTTAGTCCACAGTGGAGCATACAAATCACTCAGAGCACAAAACTCCAGAGTTGAAAGCTGCAAGCTAACTTTGTAGCATAAGCCCCAGCAGATAACAAAGATAATGGAAACCAGGATCTGCCCCTCTGTCCCTGACCCTAAGGTCCTCGAGTCCCGCCTGCCCAGCCATAAGACAGATGAGCTGGAGGAATCTCGGGTCTGGGAAGAGACAGAGATGGGAGTTGGGCCTGAAAAGAGGGGTCACCCAGCATGAGCTCTAGCTCAGCTGCCTGGCAGTATATGCCCAAGGCCAGCAGTCAGCCAACCACTCAGGATACTCTATAGTCCAGCCCTGAAATGTGGCCAGTCCTGGGACTGCTCTGGAAACATCAGAGAGAAGCTGACCAAAAAGGAAGCAGCTGGGCAGCCCTGGAAAGACAGGGGTGGAAGGTCAGGAGGGGTGAGGGAGAGGGGCAGGAGAAGCGGGAAGAACTGGACACCCTGGGGAGAAGTTTGGAATGGGGCTGCCACTGATACTTCTCAGTCTCAGAGAGAGGACACTGTGCCTAAGGCCCCATCATCACTCAGGTTCATAGCCCACAGCCCACCAGGCCTGTTCTCTCTAAAACTTGGGTCTGCTTGGGAACTTCAGGAGCCTATCACCTGGGGCAGCCCTGCTAGGAAAGAACCAAATGGCCCCTAGGCAGAGCGCAGGACAGTGGTCCACATCTCTACAGGGCCTGTAGGCTGACAACCTTAGTAGATGTCCACATACATACCCCTGTGAGCCCAGACCCAGGTTCTGAAGGACAGCTGTCCTCACTCACATTCAGCACCCCCTGACCCGACCTTCAGGCACATCAGGTGACAGGTACAGCTGCAGGCTCATTTCAGACCTGAGACCAGTATTCCTTCACCCCAGTAGTCCCCTCCCTTAGCCACTACCAGTACAGCTGGGACACCATAGCCCTCCAACTTTGACCATGCCTGGTCAGAGAACCAGCACACACAGTACCTAGTCTGCATTCCTGGACAGGTAGACAGGGAGAGTTCTGAGGGACATACCTGTTACCCACAACAGCAAATGAAAGTGAGCCTGGTGAACTTCCAGGGACACAGAAGTCAAAGTCTGACACAAGCCACACCCTACCACAGGGGCACCTAATCCAGCACCTTACCAACCCTCACCTGCTGACTGCTCTCTGGGTCCCTGAGCATCTCTGTTTCAGTGACAGATAGATGGCCAAGGTTCTGGTGGCTGTGGCATCCACTGGTGTACAGATGGATCTGCAATAGACAATGTACCCAGGCTGGTAGGCAGCTCACCAGCAAGATCACTCTTAGCTGGATATATGTACCCTAAGGGCCCACTTATAGTTGGGCAGGACATGGCTGGGCTCAGAGTAGCTCAGCAATGCTGGGGGATCCCTAAAGAGGAGGGACACCAAACAATCTCTCTGCAGACTTCCCCACTTTGCTCCCCAAGGAACACAGTAGGGTAGAGCAGGGCCCTGCCCTGTTCACAGAGGTAAGACGTTACCCAAACGTCAGAATTGGGGGACACCCAGCAGTCTAGTAAGCCAATGATGGGGGACAGAGATGGGCCACAAAGAAAGGGGTACACGGTACATGGGCCCTGTGTGGAGGGTTAGCTCCCTGCCCTACCTTGCCGAGGAGGGTACACTGCTCCTGCTGACTGGAGATCAGGTGCCGCCACCGGAACCTCAGCTTTCCCATCAGCCACTGCACTCTCCGGAGGTCCATAGGGCCCTCTGTTTCCACATGGAGTACAGGAGGGCCAAGGCTGCCCAGGGCCTCATGCTGGAGAGTGAGCAAGGGTCAGGTCCTGCTGCACACCCCATCCTGCTCCCTGAATGAGGGGCCAGGACAGGGAGGGTGTGCTGCAAACAGAGGGCCAAGCCACACTGTCAGCTGGGAAGCTAAATGAACCCCCTCTGAGAACTGTCCTCAAGGGGAGACACACAGGGCTTGGGATCAGAGAGAAACCCAGGGTTTCTGGGCAAAGCCAGGCTCAGGCACTCACCTCAAACTGGGGCAGTTGATCACCCAACTGCACACGGGTCTTATCCAGCAGCTGCTCAAGAAGAGGTCCTCGGGCCAGGAGCCAGGACAGGGCCAACAGCAGTTCCCGGCTGCCCTCAGGAAATTGGGCAAGCACAGGCCTGGGGTAGCCCAGGGAATGGAGTGCTGACTTCACCACTTGGGCTTGAGCCTCTGGAGTAGGGAGTCACCAACTCAGGGGGGACCACCTGGAGGAGACGCCACCTGGAATCCTCCAGGGACCCTCCAGAGCACCCCTAAGAAGTATAGACCTGGCTCAGAAGGGACAAAGGAGGTGCACATGGCCTATTATGAGGAGGCAAGATACTAACCTGGGGACAGGACTTGCGTGGGTGGTTGGACCTGGGTCTAGCCAGTCCCAATGCTTCACTGGAGTGGTCAGAGCCACTGCTACCCTAATGAGAAGGGCCAGGATTGGGGGGGGGGACAGTGCCATCGGGGGTAGGGCAAATGCCTCCAGGGGAGGGGCGTTGGAGTTAAGGCAGGGGTATAAAGGAGCCCTAAGGGGGCGGGCCCTTCCTAAGTTTGGACAGAACCCAACAGCCCGAGTGAGCGGGGCTAGAGCCTTTGGAGCGGGGCTTACCTGGGGCCAGAGAGGACCAAGTGCTGTCTGCAGCAGGCGGCGCGAGCACGCGGAAAAGGAGCTGCCAGAGCACCGGGGCCTGCGGGGAGCACGGAGTGCAGTCAGCGGGGTACAAGGTGTCACCTGCGTCCGCCCAGGACAACGGCCGCCCCGGGAGCCTCACCGCCTCCGGACGGTCGAACTTAGCGCGGCGGAAGATTTCGGGGCTGGGCCCGGCGGGCAGCGACCGACTCAGTGTGGCGATGGCCTGGGGCAGGGCCCCGGTCGCGCGGCACCGCCGCCTCCCCATGCAGCCTGCCTAGGCCAGCCTCGGATCGCCCGCCGCGGCCGGCTGGGACCGCCAGCCAATCACTGCTCCGGCCGGGACCCGCCCTCGCCTCCCCGACCAATGAATGCGGACCCTAGTGTTCGCGTGCACTCCAGGCGGCCTGACGCAGGCACTTCCGGGGCCCGGGGGTGGGGCCTTGGAGTTGCCAGCTCGGCGGACTTTAAAACCCACCAATCAGCACCTCTAGTCACTGGCCACCTAGCAACCGCGGCGCCAGTTACGCCGGGCTGCAGGCTGCGCATGCGCTCGCGGAGGCGCGGAGTGGGGCGCCGTCGAGCCCCACCCTGCCGCTGCGGAAAGGGTGCGGCTCCGCGAAGCGTCCGGCCCCGACACCAGGGGGCGCGAGGGTTTCGCGGCAGGCTTCCGAGCCCTGCCAGCCGGGTGGGAGCTCCCGGTCCACGTCGCCGGAAGTCCCCACGAGGCCGGCCTTCAGCAGGAAACCTCAGTGCAGCCTCCCCCTGTCCAGACCCCATCGCCCCCACTTTCATCTTCCCCCCGGCCGCTAAAGGTCGAATTATTTGAGGACGATCCTCCACTTTAGGGGCGCGGCCGTCTCCCTGCGGTTAAAGTTTCCCGCACAGTCCTGGCAGCCGCTGAGCATCTTGCAAGGACACACGTGGAAGTTCACAGCAGCTCCACGGTCGCAGAACGCACCGAGGCCAGCCTGGCGCGCGGGGACCCCGGCTCGGCAGTAGGCGTGGGCGCGCCGCGTGGCCGCCACCCGGAGGAAGCCGGGTGCGGACAGACATCACCGTGTGCCTGTGCCAAGTGAAGGCCGGCCGCCGGGACCCAGCTGGGGAGCCCAGGGGCGGCGAGTGGCCGGGGAAAGCTGCGGGGCGAGGGCCAGGACGCTTGGGCACAGGCTGCGCTCCGTGTACTCGACATCACGAGGCAGCTGGGGCGGGGACCGTACAGTGCGTACCGTCCACCTCAGTAACGCCGAGTGGAAGAGGAAACCGGACGTGAGAGGGAGGGGCAGAGGACCCAGTGCACCTGCCGGCTTAGGCACACCTACAGGATGGTCACGCCCCCCGGAAGCGTGGGAACGTGGGCCGACCTCTCCGACTTAGCCTTCCGAGTGTGTTTGCGACCTACCCTTCTTCCTGGCCCCTGCTGCAGATCTTCTTCAACTCCTCTGAGTGCCCCCAGATCTTCTGCCTCGCGGCGTCTAGCTTCTTAGCTTCCCTCACTATCCCCGCCATGCAGATATGGCCACTCTGCCAAATGGCCTCACCCAGCCTGACTCAGCCCAGGACCAGGCCCTGACCCCTGCTCCTGCACACCTTAACACTTTTCCGCAGCCTTATGTGCAAAGGCCCTTTCTGGCTGGAGCACCCAGGAACTCCCGATGCACTCCCAAGGAGCCTTTTGCCTCCCAAGGCCTCTTTGCACTACTGTGAACTTCCTCCACTGACCCCCATTCTTCCAGCAGACCTCAGCTTGCTGGTGTTCACCTCGTCTGCCCCAATTGGCTGTAAGGTACAACAGAGCAGGGACATGGATGAATTTGGGAACAGGTTGGAAATTATGAGGAAGGGAGGGCTTGGGTTGAGCATGCATGTCCAGTTCACATCCTACAGTCCCACCATGACCTTTGGGTGTCATCAGACCCCAAAGGCCTCTGTTCTGTCCCAAAAGAACAGTAAACTCTCAGCTCTCAAGTTGGCCAAACTGCTGCATCACCCAAAGCACTCCCAAATCTACACCCTTGGGATTTCAGAACCACCCAATCACACACACTGCACTACAGACCACTTCTAGGGCTGTCAGGTTCATGCCTACAGGGCCAACGTGTGAGGTAGGCCAGGCCAGGGCACTGCTGAGATCTTGTGACCCTGTACAGGCCACAGACGTTTGCGGCCAGTGGAGTGAGGTTAGGGAAGACAGGCTGCTGGCTTGACAAAGGGATTTCCAGAAAACCCTCAAACCCCGTCAGTGCAACAGGCCACCTGGGACATTCCTGGACAGGGAAGGGGGCAACCGTGGAGGTAGTGTCTGGGTCCAAACTAAGCAGCTGCAGAGCACCCAGAGGGTGCATTGTGGGGGTCAGGGTGGGGTGACAGGAAGTGGAAATGGGACAGGCAATAAGTCTACACAGCTCCCCCAAAGCTTCTCAAAAAGGGAACCAGACCAGCTCCAACTGATTCACCCTCTGAACTGTGGCCAGCCCCACCCACTCCCAGGCCTCCTGTTACTGCTGACCCGGTGGCCATGGCCTCACCCCAGGCCAGAACCACTGAGGGCTAGGGGCATCTTTGTGGTTCCTTCTCTGAAGAGGGGACTCTACTAACAGTGCTCTCCCAAATGGTAGTGGGCAGCAGTGGTTGTTACAACAGGAAAAGCAAGAGCCTGCCCTGGGCCTCAGGATGAACCCCAGCAGCAGGTCCCCTCCACCACCCACTGACACAAACACAGTCCTTCTAATGGTTCAGGTTTATTAAGGAAGACATGGAGGACCACTGGGAGCCCGTGGTGTTTGGGGGTAAGGCCTGGCATGTGCCTAGGCAGATCAGGAGGGTTTTAACAACCTGTAAGGAGAAGCATAAACAGATTAAGTGTGCCTCCAAGCCAGATCACCTTCCCCACCAGGAGTGTCCCCTTCTGTAGGCACGTGGACTAGATGGGCTTGGAGATTAGAGCTATACCTGCATTTACTTGAAAGTGTGGCTCTCAGCTCCACCTCGCCCAAAGCCTGCAAAGAAAGAATAGATCAGTAGGTTGAGGGAGGGAAGCCAGCAGACAAGAGGCAGGTTGGAGGAGGCTAGGGCTAAGTCCAGCCACATACCTTTGGGCCCAAACATGGCTGAGTAGCAGGGATGGTTGCAGTAGGGCTTGCCTTCATGCTGCAAAGAGAAGAGCATTCATTAAAGGGGTGGGTGTCTTCATCCCCGTCCCCCCTGCCTCTGCCACTCTCCAGCCCTTACCTCCGCATGGCCCCCGGAGGTCAGCGTCTTTCCACATTTCTCACACTTCAGGCAGGGCCGATGCCAGTCCTTGCCCAAAGAGGTCACCCGTTCAGCTGCAGAGGCACAAACCCCACATGAGACACTGAAGCCTGCATACCCACGTCTCACACATCTCTCTTCCACTCCACAGATCCCGGTCCCACGCCTCATTCTCTCAACTTGGTGGCCTACCCTGGGTGGTAGCCTGACCCTCAAGCCAATCCTGCCAAACCAGAAGGGTCGGCTTTGTCCGTGGGGCATGTCCAAGCGGCGGTGACCCTTAAGGGCTTGGGCTGGAGAGGAGGCCTTCGGATTGGGAGGTTGCGGGGAGCAGGTCTGGAGGGCCTAGGGCCAGAAGCCCGGGTTAAGTCCTCGGACCTCTGTGCTAGTGGCCCGGTGAAGTCTGAGCACACACTTCGCTGTAGGGATGGGGGACTTCTTACTTCCTCCCATCCCCTCCGGTGGAGGCCCTAGAGCACGCGAAGGGCAGGAAAACCAGCACCCGAGATCGCGGCCCCGGACGTGGGTTTCCGCGTCTGTTTCTACTTAGCTCTGGGAGGGGCGGCCCCAGTCCAGTGTTCCTTCCTATCCTGCGGGGACCCCGCCCAGGGCGCGCCGAGAGGAGGCGGGAGACAGAGAGACCCAGAGGCGAGGGTCACAGGGGGAGTCACAGAGACCGGGAGACCCCGAACCAGGGAGAACCCGGGGTGGGGAGAACCAGAGGCAAGGAGACCACGGGAGGGGAAGACCCAGAAGCAGGGAGGACCCGGAGTGGGGAGACCCAGAAGCAGGGAGGCCCCGGGACGGGGCGAACCAGAGGCGAGGAGACCTGGAGACGGGGAGACCCAGGGGCGAGGAGACCACGGGACGTGAGCCTGAGCCTGGACAGAGACGGTGGTTCCCTTGGACAACGGGTTCCCATCGGGCGGCCCCAGGCGAGGTCGAGAGTTCGAACGCCGACCACGCCCGGAACCCCAGGCGCTCCCGCCCACCTGAACAGCCTCAGGGCCGCTCTTCCGTGTCCAGCCTGCCATGCGCCCACGGGCACGCTGAGAGAGGCCCGGGTAGCCCGGCTTACTCACCGAAGTACACCTCCTTGTCGCACTTGGGGCACTTGGGCATGGCGGAGCCTGGTCCGGGACTAGTACCGCAGCGGAGAAGGAACACACAGTGGGCTCAGGACTGGGTGGCGCCCGCCTGGTGCGCACTTTTCAGGGACCCCGCGGCCCTGCCCCTTGAGGCCCCGCCCCCGCCCCGCCCTCGGAGTTTGGGACTCGGCCCCCAGGGACCTTGGGTCCAGGCCGACTGGCCAAGAATGGTCATCTGGTCCACACCCGCCGCTCGCAGGACTAACTGGCCGCGGGCCGTACTGCCGCGTAGGGCCTCGGGGACCCTCTATGGGGAGGGGCTGCACCGGCGAGTCCACGCCCCGCCCCCCGCCTGGGGCAGTGCAAGCCTGCGGTCCAGGACCCGGGCAGTGGGATCTCCCAGGCAGGAAGAGGCGCCCCAGCCCGGGCCGCCTTTGTCTGCACCTGCGCGAGCTTGCAGATCTGCTGGAGCCAGGGAGGGACAGGTCACTTCCAAAGTGCAGAGAAGTCGAGAGTGTGGCGCACACCTATCATCTCGGAACTTGTAAGGCTGAAGCAGGAGAACCTCCGTAAGTTCAAGCGCAGCTTGGGTGCGCAGGTTTCAAAACACCAGAAATAAAAGTAAAATAAAATGGAGATGGATGCAAATTAGCGTCCAAGGATTTCTCCGGGTACATTTGGACCCTGCCTTCCACTAGAGAGAGGGCTGAAAGTACATCCTGAGTCTCAGCCTGGCAGCTCAGACCCTACCAGTTTTCCCAGGTCTTCAACCCTCACAGACGCCAGGACCTTTGCCAACTGACGACCGCAGTTGGAACTTCCCCGGGGAATTCAGAAGGGGGCTTCTTCAGAGCAGCCCTTCCTGCTACAGGGACAGCTTATGACAAAGGTTGGCGCCTAAAGGTCGTGACCCGAAAGGAACGCGAGGCCACGCCCAGGTCGCTTCCCTACGCCCTGCGGCACAGGCACGCGTAGGAGACCGGCCCTTATCGCTGGGGGAAGCACCCGGCGCTAGCGGTCCAAGTCCGCCCAGCTAGGCAGGTACCAGGCGGAGACTGGACGACCAGTGGAGAAAACGGAGGGCTGGGGTCCTGCGCTGGCCTAGGAACCTGAGTTGTGGGGTGGCCTGTAGCCTCTCCACCAAGGGACTCCCATCTTCCATAAGCCCAGGCCTCTGTTGGGTGGGGCCCTGATCTCCTATCCCCTGGCCTAAACCCCTGGTGCTGGGGTTGTTGTTGTTAGTTGCTCCATCCTACCCTTCCCTTCCTGCTCTAGGGGGCCCCCCTACCCTCTCCCCAAGCACAATGGGCCCATCCTCCCCTTGAGCTGCCTCTCCCTCCACATACCTTGTTAGAGTCCTCAACTCCCATTGACACACCCATCTCAAAAGAAGAGGTTACCTCAGGTCCTGTTTAGGACCTACCCTTGGAGATCATCCCCCACAACATCCAGGGGCACAGTATCCTGGTTTCAGCTCTGACCTGGCCTCGAATTCACAACCACCTACCCATCATCAGCCCCCAGGCCTGGTTTTGGGGCTGTGAGCTGGGGTACCTTCATCTCAAGATTCTCTCCATAGGCCCAGCTGGGGTGGGGTGTCAGAGCTTTCAAACTGTGGGATTACTGAGACATCAGTGTCTAGCACAAAACCCACACTTTGGGGAGTCGCAAGGTCCAACCCAAGTCCCCCTCCCCAACACGATCCAGTCCTGGGACCCTAGTCTGAGGTCTCAGCTCTGCCCATAAACTGGGGCTCTACGAATGCCCGGATCCACAGACATTCTCAAGGTTCTCACCAGCCGGGGTTTCCAGAGGAGGGTGCACACTCCTAGGATAGAACCTGGCAAGCCAGGAAACCCACCCTGACGCCTGGTCGGCCTGCTCTGACACCCCTGAGTGGTTTCTGAACTTTATTAAACCACAGTCCAACCCTTCCCTTACCAGTCTTCAGGTCTCTTGGTCAGTCTGAAAACAAGAGGTCCTGATTCCCTTTGCTCTTGACTCATGTCTACAACAGCAGAGACAGAGGCATCCTGTGGGCAGAGGCTCCAGAAGGGGAAAACTGAAGAAAGCTGTTAGTAACACCCAGAGAGGTGAGGCTGGAAGGCTCAGGACAGTCTTGGAGGGTGGTGTCTCTGCCACTACAGGTCCCTGAGCCTGACCACACACAAAGCACACTACCTCATTGTTCATGAAAAGAAGCCAACTGCTGCTGCCAGGGGTGTGCACTGGGTGGAGGCACAGGGCGCCCAGCAGACTGCCTCACCTCCACCAGTATCATGTGCTCCGGGAGTACCAGAGGCTAAATGCTTGGGTGCACATGCATGCCTTGGGGCCTCTGTGTGACTCGTGCAGTGTACGGTATATGGTCTCTCTCAGAGCACATGGCTGCCCATGTTTCTATCCAGCCCCGTCCCACACCACCCAGGGACTTTTCGGCAGCTCCTTCCCAGCTCTCACCCAAGGGATGTTTGCTGGGGCGATGACCTGGGCCTTGTTCCCTCCATCCACTACCTCACCCCAGGGATCGCTCCATCCCCCACACCCTGGACTCTAGCCACACCCTTCAGTGGGGAGCCCCCCCAAAACCATGATGAGTCTTCTTGGCTTTCCCAGCTGTTGTTTCCTGTTACCATGGCCACAGGAAGGATGCCAAGGGGGGGGCAAGGGCCATGGGGTGGTGCCTTCTTTGTTGGTACACAGCAGTTTTTCCAGATGCTCAACTCAGCTATATCCACTCACATACACACACAAGGCACCCATAAACTAGTATTGCTGCACAGGCCTGTGATTCTAGTTATGCCAGAGGCTGAGGCAGGAGGATCACCTGTTCCAAGTCCTGAACTACACAGCCAGATCCTGTCTCAGAGAAAAGGAAAGGAGGAAGAGGTATAGAAGGAAGGAGGGAAGGGGAGGGTAGGAGAAGGGAAAGAAAAAGAAAGAGAGAGAGAGAGAGAGAGAAAGAGAGAAAGAGAGAAAGAGAGAAAGAAAGAAAGAAAGAAAGAAAGAAAGAAAGAAAGAAAGAAAAGCCAGACGTGGTGGCACAGCTGTGATTTCAGCACTTGGGATGTAGAAGTGAAAGTTCCAAATTCAAAGCCAGCCTCAGCTACATAAGGCCTTTAAGGTCGGCCTGGCTAAATGCGATTCTACCTCAACAACAAGAAAAAGGCACACACGCACACGCACGCACACGCACATACGTACACGCACGCACACGCACGCGCGCACACACACGCACGCACGCGCGCACACGCACACACGAGAACTCTCCTGGAGTCTCCATAACAACTGCACTGCGAGTATTCGCCTTCTATCACCTGCAGCCCCCAGCTGCTCACTCTCCCTAGAGGTCCCATCCAGACCCAGGCCCCTGGCTGAGGCTCAGCTGGTGCCAGTGAAGGTCCTGCCAGCCTGCCTGAGGCCCAGCCCTACACACTGTAAGGCCTCTTGCTTCCATCCTCTCCCAGTCCCCTCCCGCCTCAGGCTATTTCTAGAGGACCACTGGCCAGGCCCACAGTGTTAACCTTACCAGGACCAGGGCCAGGAAGAAGCTGGGGTGCTCTGTACAAGCATAGGAAGGCACATGGTCAAAACAGATCTCTGAGCTCCCCAGTTTTTGCACTGATAATACATGGAGAGTAAGGGGGAAGGGAGGCCACAAAATTCTGATCGAGCCTTCTCTGCATCCACCCCACCCCTGCCCCTCCACTGGCCGGGATAACAATACTCTAAGGTCAACTAGAGAAAGTAGGGCTGGACCCTTTGGGCTGATGGCTGCCGAGGAATCTGACCATCCATTTCCACCAGGAAAGTTCAGCTTCTTGGGGAAGGGCCCACCTCCCTCTGCAGAGTGTGGCAGAAACTACCTTTACCCAATGCCTAGGTTAGTACCCTGCCAAGGGTGTGGTCAGGTATGAAGATGTCCCTCTGGCTGGAGGCCAGCTGAGCCTGCCCTATGATCTCTGCACTCAGGTGCATGGTGCTGCCAGCACACCCTTCAGGGAACAGGTGGAGCCCAGTCAGACACAGCACAGGCCTCCCTAGAACCCACCTCCCTCCCTCCCTTCCCTCCCCTGCCCTCAGACCAGTTGAGGACATTCACAAGTTCCCAGGGACTATTTTCAGCAGCTTGTCTCCAGGGACCCCTGTCTGGCCTGAGATCTGACCCCAGAGTGGGCTTGCTAGGATGGTTGGCCACAGTGAGAGGCAGTGCACACTGCTTCCCAGACAGGCTCTTCTAGACCTCATACTCAGGGTCCAGGTAGACAGCAGTTAGCAATTCTTCCTCTCCCAAAAGCAGCATGACATGTCTGGGGCAGTGGGGGGCCAGGCGGCAGTTATAGAACGGGGCTGGGGCTCCTCAGACAGTCTTTCTCCTGTGGGGCTGTATCCTCTACCTAGGACCTATAATCTGGCCAGATGGGGTTCCCTACACTCCACCTCTCTTGAGGCTGGGCCTGGTGCCTGGTCTGCTTCCTGGAGTTAAAGCCCAGGCAGAGCAGCTTGGAATTCCAGTCTCCCCAAACCAGCAGCTGAGATCTTGTTCATAGCCTCCAGCCTACCCCCACAGCCAGCCTGGCCCTTCTGCCCACACCTGGTGCCCTGGTCTCCAGCCAGCCTGCCTGTGCCTACCTAATAGCCAGAGCCTTAGCTCTGGCACAGGGTGATCTTTTTAATACTCTGCCCACAAGCTTCAGCCATCAGCCAGTGAATTGGGCCTAGGGGCAAGACCAGTCATACCCCATGCCAAGACAGATGGAATCTACAGGAAGCTGGGAGTTTGAGGAAGACTCTGCACCCAGGACTGATGCAGGGGTCACCGGCCCAGGGGAAGCAGGGATAAGCCAGGAGAGATGATGCTTGGGATCTGGAGTATGGGCCTAAAGATCTGAGACTAAGGAAAGTGGGGACAGGGGGCCATAGCCTCAGAGGCCCCCACAAAGAAACCCAGCTGGGCATACCAGTAGGGGGTCAGAGAGGGGCTGGGAGGGCCTGGCTGGAGAGTATAGCAAGGGTGGATGGGTGGGTGGTGGGTAGGATGGTAGGGGGTGTCAGGGGAGCTAGGACACAGATAAACTGTACAGAGCCTAGAATGTGAGGCTCCTTGTGGGTCCCTGGCTCAACTGGCAAAATGAGGGGGTGGGGAGGTGGTGAGATGGTATCTAGAGCTATCTCCCCCTCCCTGGCTAGTTATCAATCACCTGGCTTAAGGCAGTCTCCCAGGTGGATGCCAAGGACAAGGGCTCCCATTCCCCCTCCCCTCCATCTTGAGTGCATTGGAAGCTGGTGCCAGTGACGCGCCCTGGCAGAGCAGTGGACACCGCCTGGCAACAAGGCGCAGACAAACAGTCACAGAACCTCTGGGTTTCCACGACAACCCCTTGGAAACAAACAGGCAGCGTCATCTTCCCCCGCAGGAAAAGGGCAGATCCTGCCCCTCCCCACCGGGCCTGGATGTACAGCAGGGCTAGTCGCAGACTAGGGCCTGATCTGCCCTGGGAAGACCCTTGCCCTAGCCCTGAGCGAAAAAGGGAAATGCCCTCTAGCCCTCCGTGCCCCACCCGGGGTGCCCAAGGTTCGGGAAGTCGGGGTCCCCTCCCACCCCACGTCGGCAAGGATGAGCGCAGGCGACCCGGCTCCCCCTAGATGTGCCACCGACAAACCGCGTCTTAGTGGGAAAGGCCATGACAGGAGTTTCAGCGCTCAGTACCTGCTGGACATCCCCTTGGTTCGGGCGGGAAGTGGGGGTACTGGCCCCACACTGGCCACAGTACAGGCACAGACGGCAGGGCGGCGGGGGCACTGCTGGACAGCCCAGCTGACCCAGCGTTCTGCGCCCAGGGACACGGTGCCGCTCGCTGCTAGGACAGTGGGCACACGCACAGCTACACCCTCGCAGTGGCCTAGAGGGTTGGATGCAGAGCCAGTGACAGGCCTGAAAAGGCGTCGGACCCCGTGGCAGTGACAAGACCCCGGGAGCCGCTTGCCCAAGACGAGCTGGGCATCTGAAGCATGGTGTGCAATGGGAGCAAGAGCCCGGGACTGGGGTTCAGCCTGGGTGTGGCGGGGCCAGTGGTACAGTGGGGAGCTGAAAAGCAGGGGCGCCCTCTGGTGGGCTCCTGGGGGAAAGCACGCAGGACGCACCCATAAGTGAGGAGGGGGACCCACCAGGTGCCAGAGTTTAGGGTTGGAGTCCCAAATCCTGGACCACGTGGAGAGGCCAGGTTCACTATCCTCACTACAAATCCAGAGTCCCAAGGGTGGAGAGGGATCATGTCCCCAGATCCTCAGCTGGCAAACTTTCCTCATTCTATGTCCCTGGACCACCCCATCCACAAGAGACAGGCCAGGTGGTCAAAGGCCTTGCCTTGGGACTAGAGCAGACTTGGTCTGACTGCACCCCTAATCTCTCATGGATTTCCCACCCCAGACCTAGGCTGTCCCCCACCTCCAACCCCACCCAGCCCTCACCAGCAACCCATCCCCTGCACAAGATGCTTCTGGTCATCTGTCCAGGTCCTCCATGCCCCCTGCTTGATCTTAAGGCAGATCCCACACACCTCTTGGGTCCAGTGCCTGAAGCAGTGTCTGTGGAGTCCAAGCTGTCCTATGGACATCACTCTCCTCTGCATGCTTCAGGACCATGTCCTCAAGGGCCCCATCCGGCCATTATCTGCATCCTTTTCCCAAGACACCCACTCACCTCTGCCCCTCCCTGCCTCCCACACATCTCCCTGTCAGCACTGATACCTAAATCCACCTCCTCACTTCAGAAATGTTTCCAGACTCCACCCCACCAGAACTGGGTCCAGGGGTGCCCAGTTAGGGTTAGGGTTAGAAGAGGGCATATGTGGCGGGAGACAAAGGGACACTGTCTTGGGTCCACACCCCTTGGTACTGGGTCCTGCAAATCCTCAAACCAAAAGTGTTTATTGACAGCAAAAATCTCAGCAGCTGTGAACCATGTGAGGGGTGAGTAGGGGGCAGTGTGGGAGCCAGCAGAGGGCCTGGCAAGGGTGCCACCACCCTGGGAATGCCATGAGCACGTGGCCATCACCGGCAAGCAGAGCATAAATAATACTGGTGGGCAGGCATGGGCCAACAGGGATGGAGCAAGAGAGCCGCCAGGGACATGAGGGCACGGGGACATAAGACATATGGGCTCATGGAGGCACACTAACACAAAAGGGGCAGTGGTAACAGAGGACATGCTGAAGTGACACTGAGATACAGGACTGGGATTCCAGGCTGCTCTGGAGACACCTAGGAGACCTCCTCCTCTACCACACAGGCCCTGGGTTAGCAGGCAAGACACACTGAGGCAGGATTGGGCAGCAGGTCACTTTCCCTAGGGTCAAGTAGGGAATCCCGGGACAGCATTTGCAGATCTAGGGCTGAACTGTGCCCTCGGGGTCCTTGTCATAGATGTAGCTGCCCACAGCACCGGTATTCACTCCTGTGGAGAGAGGTGATTGGGGTGGCTAAGCAGGGACAAGCAAGGGTCTGGGGAAGGAGAGAGGTCTCCCTGTCCCCCCTCCCCTCATGATACTCACCCTTAGGTCCAAAGAGTATTCCATAGCACGGCTTGTGGCAGTAGGGCTGACCGTCATGCTGTAGGCGGGATGCAAAGGGTGCTGAGCATCGGCCCTCTTCCCTCACCTTCCCAGATGCAGTGAAACCTTCCTAACGTGGGAGTCTGCCTCTCTGAGAACCCGGGGGTTTCCAGGGCCATGTGCCCCTATAGGCCCACTTACTTTGAGAGGGGTAGCACAGCCCCAAGAAGCCTGCAGAGTCTGCCCTCTGGTGGCCAGAGGGTGGTCCTCACAGCCTGGGGCAACCCCAAGTCAGGCAGCCTCCCCCTACCCACGGTTCCCTATTTCCTCCAACTGCCCCCACTCCACCAGCTCCTGAATCCTTAACTCCAGCATGCTTCCCTTCCTGTCCCCAGTCTCAGGCCCTGCCTGGTCCCTGCACCCCAATCACGCCCCTCACCTCAGCATGCCCACCGGGAGTCAGTGTCTTGGAGCAGCGCTCACAGCGCAGGCAGGGCCGGTGCCAGTCCTTGCCCAGAGAGGTCACCTTCTCAGCTGGAAGGGAGGAGATGGTGATGGGGACCACAGCCCTAAAGCACACTTGTCCTGAGACGGGGGCTTGAGTGGTTACTTACCAAAGTACACTCTCTTGTTGCAACGAGGACACATGTTGGGCTCCCCGGTGAATGTGGTGACACTAGAGGCTGAAGGGTGAAGCTGGGTTAGGGTGGACCTTAGCCACCCACACCTAACCCCCACCCAGAACCCATCCCACCTTTGCTGGGCCCCTTGGGGGGACCACCAGCCTTCCGTTCCTCAGATCGGACCGCAGAGACCTCGATGGGGCCCGTGACCTGGGGGCCTTCAGTCAGTGGCTTCTCGTAGATGTAGGAACCAGCACCCCCAATATTCACGCCTGTAGGTGACAGGCACATCAGCAGGTGGTGAATGGTCAGAGGCCTTGACACCACCCATCTCCTACACAGAGCTTCTCCCAAAAGTTGTTCATTGCTTTCCAGGGCAGGGGGGACCCCGAAAAGGAGGAGGGGTGTGTGCAGGGAGCAAGTAGAACACCCTACTCCCCACCAACCACAGGAGCTGTCCCAGGTCACATGCCTGGAAGGGACCTTGCTTACCTTTGGGTCCAAACAGCGTGGCATAGCAGGGCTTGTGGCAAAAGGGCTTCCCATCATGCTAGGCAGAGAGGTGGTGGTGAGGGAGGGAAGCCATGTCTTCCCTACCTCTACCCCAGAACGCACTCACCTCGGCATGGCCCCCAGGAGTCAGCGTCTTGTTGCAGCGCTCACACTTGAGGCAGAACTTGTGCCAGTCCTTGCCCAGGGAGCTCACCTTCTCGGCTGTGAATAGGAGGGGAGGGCAGCATGTTTGTCCCTCTCCTTGCAATCCCAGCACTTCCACACCTCCATCCATCCCTCCAATTCACTCTGACCTGGCAGGCACAGTTCCACCATGGTGGCTCCAAGCCTAAGGCTCCTGATTTAGAGTCCCTCAGTCTCAGGCCAATGGTCAGTAGGCCTGGAGCTCTGCACTCCCTCTTCACAGCTAAGTGGTTCCAGTCCAGCACCTGTTTAGCCCCTCAGCATCTGCTGACTGCACCTGCTTACACCTGCACCTCCAAGTACCTGCTTCACACACACACACACACACACACACACACACACACACACACACACACACCAGCTCCCCACCTGCCTCCCTCACACCTGTCGCAGACCCCCTTCTGAGAGAGAGCCCAGGACCTTCAGTTACCCGCTGAGGAAGGGCCAGTCTTGGTTGCCACAGGACCACTGGGCAGGATCCCTATTTGGCTTCCTCATCCTAAGTAAGCCCTGAGATCTTTCACCAGCTGCCTCCAGCTGCCAGTTTGGCGCCAAAGGTTTGTGGCCAGCAGCTGAGGATTGTGAGCCCCCCCCCCGCCACCCCCTCACCCCCGTGCTGAGCCACATCCCAATGGTTGGAAGCCTCGGCCTCCCCAAGGGAGTGAGACAGGAAAAGGGTGGAGAAGCAGGCAGGAAGAAGGGCCAGTGCAAGGAACAGAGCCGGAACTCCAAAGGGAAGGGAAGGGGCCAGGACAAAGGCGTGTGTGTGTGTGTGTGTGTGTGTGTGTGTGTGCGCACGTGTGTGTATGTGTGTGTGTGTCCCGCCTGCTTGGCTCTGGCACTCTACTCTGGATGGCAGAACACCTCTCAGCCTCCCCTTTTCAAGTCTCCCAGTGTGTCTCTGAGGTTAGGCGTCCCTGGGCAACTCTGGCAAATGCCAAGAAGCACAGCCTACTCTGGGCCAGCCCCCCCCCCACCATCACCCCAGAATGCTGCTGCAAGGCATCAAGTCTGGATCCTCCACTTGGCTGAGGCTGGCTCTTCCAAGGCCCTTCAGAACCTGCTGGGCATAGCCAGGTCAGGGCATCCTCCAGGAACCCCCAAACTCCAGTCCTGGGTCAGTATCACCTAGCTCCCTTTCTGAGGCTAAGACGCTGCTGTGTCCAAGTCAGCAGGCAGGAGAGGCCTTGACACAAGGCAGGCTTGGCCCCATGGCATCTTCTGCCAGCACAGCGATAAGGAGGTTGTTGGGATGGCCATCAGTGGCTGTGGCAGCTGCTGCTTAGGGCTGCCAGAACCACACCACTCTGGCCAGCTCTGGGATGTGTGCCATGTGGGGGCAGGGAGCTGACCCTCAGACCCATTGGTTGGGTCGATGGCCTCATTACAGACTGGAATTGGGAGCACAGCATTGATTGGGTCTAGTAGCTTGGAATGGACTCCCACCTGGCCTCATGTGCTCTAGAGGGAATGCAGAGGCATGCATGCACCCTGAGGTCCCTGTGGAATATCCTGGCCTGGGGTCTTCTCAGGTGTGGGTTGCTATAGCACAGCCTGGCTGGTGGGGAGGGTAGCGTCTGGACCCCCTCACCACCTTACCAGTGCCTCTCCACAGGACGGAAGCCAGCTAACTCTGAGGAGCCTTTGTTTTCTGCCGAGAGCCAGAGGCGCCCAAGCAGGCAGAGCACTTTTCCTGGTTGCCTGTTGGCCAAGGCCCCAGGACTCCAGAGCTGAATTGGCCTGCGGCAAAGTAATGCAGAATGGCCCTGAGGACTGTCCCCCAGCCCCAAGACTTGTCAGACAGCCCTCTGTAGGACAGAGAATGAAATTGGGCAATTTGTCCCTTCCAGAAGGCAGCAGGAAGACCTTGGCTCCAGGCCACCCAGAACCACCCCAAGCCAAATCCGGTCGTTCCCTTCCCTCTGGGAGCACACAAAACTGGCCTCTCCTCTCCCCTGTCAGCTGGAGAAGCCCACTGACCTCCTGCATATCCTGTTCCTGGGATGACCACTGAAGGAACCTTGCTATCCTTTATTCTCTGTTGGTGGGCAGGCCTACTGCTACCCTGGCAAAGTTGCCCGACCAGGAGAGCAGAACCCAGGAGTTAGCAATCCAGGAGTGTGTGTGAGGTGCCTGATGAAGGAGGCTGCCTCGGGCTACCTGGGCTACCAACCATTCCTGCCTCTACTTCCTCTTCCCCTGAGGGCCCTGACCTCCAAGAGGCCAGGGTCCTGGTCACCCAGTGCAATTTCAAGCTGGCGGAGACCTTCGAGTCACAGGTGCCCCACCCCTGCTGAAACTGCAGAGGCAAATGGCCAAGAAGAGAGCACGCTGGGGCACGCAAGAGGTGTAGGCCAAGGTCGCCCCCGCTTGGACTCAATCCCGAATCCCAAGGGAGCCCAGATTTGGTGGCCCGGACAGAGGTGGGAGGAGGGTTGGGGTCACTCACTTCTGGGGGCCACATGGGTCGGGGACACGTGCTGGCGGGACAGGCGGGCACAGGGTGAGGCAGAGATGGCCAGGGCCAGTCCCGGGCACCCGACCTTGCCGGATCCCACCGGGAGAAGGGCGATGTGTTGGCCTGAGGCTCGGAGCGCGCTCTGAGACCAAGCCGACTAGGAGTTCTCGTACCCCGCCCGTGCCCACCGACCACTTCGGGGCCTCGACTAGCCTCTCCAGGGTTCCAGGTGGCTTCCCTCGCCCGGCGCAGCTCCATCGCCCTGCCTCAGGCCGCACCCGCGTGGGCAGCGTGGCGAGCCCGGCTACCGGCCGCGCATCCTGACCCGCGTACACTGCGGGGTGTGGGTGAGGCAGGGGGCTGGAGGCGAAGGCGGCGGGTCGGTGCGCACTCACCGAAGTACACGGTCTTGTCGCACTTGGGACACTTGGAGGCCATGGTCCGTGCGCCGGATCGGTCCGCGCCCTCCGCCCGCGCTCGTCTCCGCGCGGCCGCCCGCGCCGGCCCCGCCCATGCCCCCCCTCGCCAGCCCGCCGCTGCCTATTGGCTCCACGACCTGGGCGGGGCCTCGGGAACCCGCCCCCCCCGAACGCCGGCCTCTGGGCGCGCGCGGGCGGGGCGCACCTGCTGGCGTCGGAGGGACCCGCTGCGGGTCAGTGAAGTGGAGTGCTCCCGGCTCGCCACTGGTTTCCATGACAACACAGGGGCCTCTAACCTGCAAGCCGACCTGGGGTCCCCGGCTGGGCCCCAACGCCCGTCCGGCTGGTCGCGAGACGGGGCGCGAGCCGCGCGCGGAACTCCCCCTCCCCATCCCGTCTCAAGGCGCCGCCTCCCTTTGTTGCCTCGTTTCCATAGCAACGTCCTCGCAGCACCGCAGCTCTAAGCATCAGATTCCGGGCGGGGCGCCGCGGTCCTGTCTGTGGTGCTGAAGGAGGGGCGGGCGGGGCGCACCCGGAGACGCCGCCACTTCCAAAAACAGCCCGAGAAACCGCTGGGATCGGTGGGGGCGGGGCAGAGGCGCCGATGCGCGGTCAGAGGGGGCCCGCAGGTGCGCTTGCGCCGGGAAGTTCCTTCCCATGCATTCCTACCTCTGGAGGAACGGGGTGGGTACCAGCGAGTGTCCTCCGCTCTGGGTGCTGTGGGCTAACACCCCCGGCTGTGAGCGCCCCGAGCCCCGGACTGCTGTCGGTATTCTTCCTCAGCCCAGGGCCTCTGCCAGGCTCCTGGAGCTAAAGCATTAAAGCCAGAGATCCTGCTGGTCAGACCCTCTGTCCCTTACCAGCCCTGGGGAACACCCCCGCCCACTTCCCCTTCCTACTGGGGCATGCCTGGCCCTTTCTAGGTTCACCATCCTGGAGCCCAGGAGGATTTGGACGGAAGAGGGGGCCCGGGGACCCACAGGGCTTTGTCTGAGCCTCTTGACCCCACCTGGGCCTTGGGTCTGGGGGACAAACATCCTACCATCCCAACCCCGATGACCTGAACCAGTTGTGGGTAGCTCACTCCAGAGAGATCCCTTCCAAGCTGCTTTCGCTGCTGTGTGCTGGACCACTCACATTTCATTTCTCTGCCCGGTGCACCTGCCCAGCCCAAGGACCGAGGACAGTGATCCTGGGTGCCAGTCATGTTGGTGAGCCCTGGTCTACTGCTCTGGTGGGGTGGCCCCTCCTCCTTCCTTGCACACACATCCTGCAGTCACTGTCATTTCCATGATGACGACAGCCCAGAAACATGCCCCCACCCCCACCAGCCTGACTGACCAGCTTGACCAGCTTCCCCTGGGCACCTCTGAACACATGCCAGACAAGGCAGGAGGCAGGTGAGGAGGCCTCCCTGGACAGGGTCCCTTCATTCACAGCCAGCTTCGTGCTCAGGCTAGCTAGATCCATAGGTCCCCATGATCCCCACCCATTACTGTGCTCTCTAGTTCCCTAGGACCCCTGTGAGCCCTTGGGTCCCTGGCACCAGCCTGTTTTACTACCCCACCACTGATATTTACAGTGAAAGACCGGGCTGGCTGGTCATTTGAAAGGAGGGGCCCTCAAGAGTGCTCAGCCCTGCTGGAAGAATGAATTGGGGTGGGGCCTCTCCAAGGGGTGGCATTAAAGGAATGGCACTAAGTACTGGCCAGATGCCTAGGGTGTGAAGATGGAGTGGGGAGGGGCAAGAGAGTTCAACTGCCACTTTGGGCAAAAACACAAGCCCCCTGTGCTGTGGGGCTTCTCTGGGCCTGGAAGGAAGGGGCCTGGGCCAATGACAGAGCAATGGTGGCCTTGGCCTCCACTTCTGAGGCTGTGGAGCACAACAGTGGGAAGGGCAGGTGTAGAAAGGCACTGGACAGTGCAGGGTGTGGGCCAGCTCAGCAGGTCCCTCCTTCAGGGCCCACTGACAGTATCTTGGGGTTCTCCCATCTTCAATGTGCCATCACATTGGGCAGGATTTCAGATCTACTGTACAGAAGGAACCCAGGGCTGGGCTGGGTTGATGGTAGCTGAGGCCCTAGACATGGCAAGACTTGGGCTGAAGGCTCTGAGGTGTGACCTGGACAGGTGTGTGGGCTGATCAACAACAGGTCTCCAAGTCAGTTCTAGTCCCTCAGGGTATGACTGAGTGGCTGTTGTAGAATGACCCCTGCCCATTTTTTCCATCAGCAAGGGCTTCAGGAGGATGCACTTTCCTGAACCTGTCATCTGCCAGCATGTGCCCACTCCCCATTCTTTGCCTCTCACTTTGATCTCTAAGGAGCCGAAGCTTTGGGCTCTAAGCAGTAGACACATAGCCCAAGCCCCACCTGGCCTGTTCCTGTAGTGGGTACTGGAGATGAGATGGTGAGGCAAGTCAAGGGGTCAGGATGGCAGTATTGACTAGCTCTTTAGAGGAGCCTTGAAACCTGGGAATGTCTCACTACCCCAACTGTCTCCAAAAAAGGACAGTCTTTGGGGAAAGACCCTGTGCCAGAGGAGGGTAAGGGAACTGGGGTGTAAAGAGCTTCATCTCCACCTACTAGAACCAACAGCCGTCATTCCTGAGACCCCCCCCCCCAGGTGGGAAAAGGCCTCTGGAGAGGCTCTCAAAGATTGGGCAGTCCTTGGGCAATGAGGAACACAGAAAAACGGAAAGAACCCAGTGATCCTGGGAGAATGGGCAGGGTGTATGTCACAGCCCTGTCCCAGACACCAGGCCGTGACAGGCCCCATCACAGGCTCAGAAAGCCAGGATGCCCCCTTATCTGTCCTCAGGGCAGGAGCAGTAGTTGTTTCTATTTTAATCCCTGGGCTGAGATTTCCACACATCACAGGCGCCTGTGTGGGGTGGGAAAAGCAGAAGGCAGAGGTCAGAGAGGCCTACTGCCCCCAAGGAGAGGCTGGCCAACCCCTCTCCTGGCCAGGCCTCCTCCCTCCAGTAGCTGGCCAGGCCTTGCACCTGTCTAGGCCTGCAAGGGCAAGGCACAGGGGTACAGACTAAGATAGGATTTGAGCAGAACTCTGAGCAAATTCTTCAGAAAAGCACACCTGCTAGGGCAGTGCAGCTCTGCATAGAAAGCCTCAGACAGCTGGGGCAGGGATTTGTCAAGGCACAGGGTGGGCCCTGGACCTTCGGCTTTCTGACCAAGCTGACTCAGGTAAACGCTAGTGGGGAGGGTTATGTAACCTCAAGTAGGGTCAGCTCCCCATCTGTGAACCTGGCAGACAGATGTTATCTTAGCACAACTCCACCTAATGTAGAGGCCCCTTGCTGCCCCACTTGTAAAGCAGTGGGTACTGGGCTAGAGACCTGCAGGAATGGTACAGCCCCAAGCCAGCAGCTCCAGGCCATGTGTTGGCCCCAGACTTGTAGCCATTGCCCATCGTCCTGGCCCCAGCCTATCAAGGAAGGCCCTGGGGTCCTTCAGATGTTGAAGCAGTGTGAGCCCAAGGCTTGAAATCAGGAAGAGGAACTGGGAACAAAAGACACAGAGGGACTGGCTGGGCTTTTTCCTTTTTATGAGATTTTTTTCTTTGTTTTTGTTTAATATGAAAATTACTTGAAAAGACAAGGGGCCAACCCCGCCAGGCAGCTAGGCAGCTGCTGGCCGCACCAATCCTAACATTCCAGGTGTAAGTTACAGAGCTCAAGTTCATCTACAAAAAAAGTAATAAAAATAAAATTTAAAATGGCACCTTCAACAGAACACAACAAAACCTTAGGGCCCACCCCGGGCAAGAGGCCCCGCAGCACAGGGCCCAGAGCCTTCCGTCTCTGCTCCAGCCAGAAAGTAAACACAAAGCTAAAAAAGACTCCTCGGCGTCTTGGAATAAGTTAGACCACACTTCTTCCCCCGCATGTCCACCGGAGGAGCAGTTTCTCTGCAAGTGAGGGTGGGAGGTGGGGCACTACGGAAACAGAGGGTGGGGTGGGCAGCAGTCTGGTGGGGGAGGGAGGCCGCCTGGCCTGTACAGGCCTCACTGACATTCTGGGGCTGATGGAGGGGCCTGGGCAGGCCACAGTGCGGGTGATCGCCTAGTCTTCAATGACGATGGGCTCATCATTGACTGGCGCAGGTGGGGGTGGCCGCAGCGGCAGGGCCTGGCTCTGGCGCAGGGCAATGGGTTTGTAGGGCCGGCGGGCAGCGCGCTTGGTTTCTGAGGACGAGAGCAGCTTGCGGATTTTCCTGTGAGTGGGGAGGTATGGGCTGGTGAGAGCCAGAAGGTAGGAGCTGAGTCTCCCACCCTGTCCCAGGAAAGGCCCCCACCTGGTCTCCTCGGTGGCCATGTAAAACACATCGTCGGGGGCATCAATCCAGTTCATTCGCCGCCGTTTGACCGGGGGCAGGGAGCCCCCACGGATCAGGCGCACTTTGGTGGGATATGACTTCCCATTGAGCAGGAGGTTCCGACTTGGTCCCTGTGGTGGACAAGAGGTATGAACATGAGGGAAACAGTGCTGTGGGCCTCATAACCACAGCTAAAGAGCCCAGCCTCCTGGGCAGCCAGGGCTCAGGGTGCCACAGCCAGAGCACTTTGCCCAGATAGGGAGCCCCTGGAGGGCTGTTTAAGGCCTCAAGGTGCTGGGCCTAGTGCCACCTGTTAAGTCTGGCCAGGCCTCAAGATGTTCCCCATGGTATCTCGTGGGGCTACCTGAGCCACTTTCCCAACACCTGAGGGATCTATGTGCAAAGTGAGAGTGCCAAGCCTCTAGTTACCCCTCTTACCATGTGCCTGGTCTGTCCATGGTTTGCCAGACCTGGTGAGAAAAAAGGCACAAAGTGAGCGGAGGAAGGGGAAGTGGGCCTGGCACCCACACTGCCTGCCAAGCGGGCCAGGCCCTGGGAGTAGGGGCGGGGAGGGGGATGGTATTTCTAGAGGCCATCCATCCCCTCAGGCCACAGCCTACACAGGGCCTGAAAGATGTGGTCAGCTCTGTCTAAGCAGCCCCAGAGCTGTCAGCTCTGAAGGCCACCTGCATCCCAGCCAGCAGAAGAGGTGCCACCTCGGGCTCCAGGTAGAAGGCCAGGACTCTCAGATCTGATGCTTACACCTCT